AAAGGTGTGATCGCCGCCAGTGCCGGGAACCATGCCCTGGCTCTGTCCTACCACGGACACCTGCTGGACATCCCCGTGACGGTAGTGATGCCTATCGTGGCGCCCATGATGAAGGTGGAGGCTTGTAGGCTGTACGGGGCCAACGTGGTGGTCTTTGGGAAGGATTTCGGAGAGGTGGGACCTGGACATTGGTTTGTCTGTCTGTTTGTTTGGTTGTTTTTTTTTTGGGGGGGACGGGCGTGTTGATAGAGTGGTCTTTGGGAAGGATTTCGACGAGGTTGGTCGTGGAGATGGACTGCTTATCTGTTTTGTTTTGTGTGTTTCGTCTGTTTGTTTGTTTGTTTGTTTGTTTGTTTTTGGAAGGGGTTGGGGACGGGGTGGGTTGGTGGTAGAGTGCGCCGTGGGATGGGGATGGGGACGGGGATTAGATGGAGGGATGTTTTGGCGAATTAATGTATGATAGAAGCTGCATATCCCCAGCACTGGTCATGGTTTCTGTCTCTCTCTCTCTCTCTCTCTCTCTCTCTCTCTCTCTCTCTCTCTCTCTCTCTCTGGATTGTGTTTTTGTTTATATTTGTTCTTTTAGGAGGAAAAAAGGGGCGGGGAGAAGGGGGCTGACAGGTGTGTAAATGGATAGTGTAAGACATCCTCGTGACGGTAGTCATGCCCATAGTGGCGCCCATGATGAAGGTGGAGGCTTGTAGGCTGTACGGGGTCAACGTCGTGGTCTTTGGGAAGGATTTCGGAGAGGTAGGTCATGACTCTTGAATGATTATCTCTTTTGTTTGGTTTATTTTGTCTGTTTGTTTGTTTGAGTTTTTTGTAGGGGGGGGGGGAGTGGTTGGGGATGATCATTTTGATGAGAGAGTGGTGTTTGGGAAGGATTTCGGGAAGGTTGGTCGTGGATCTGGACTGATTATCTGTTTTTTTGGTAGTTACTTACTGCTGTTACTGTTGTTGTTGTTGCAGTTGCTACTGTTCTTGCTGCTGCTGCTGCTGTTGTTGTTGTTGTTTTATGTGTTTTTCCAGAGGAATGGGGGATGGGGTGGGTTGATGGGGATGGGTGTTGGGGTTGGGGTAAGAAATTAGATGAATGGATGATTTGGATGAGTGGATGAATGAATTTCTGGATGAAGCTGCACATCTTCAACACTGGTCATGATTTCCCACTGTGGGCACTATGTTTAGTTTAGTTTTGTTTGGGTTTTGTTGGAGCTTTGTTTCTAATTAATTATTTTATGCCTCGGATTAGAGATGGGGGTGGGGGGTTTAGATAGGTGTGTAGATGGGCAGTGTAGGTGGGACATCCCTGTGACGGTAGTGATGTCTATCGTGGCGCCCATGATGAAGGTGGAGGCTTGTAGGCTGTACGGGGCCAACGTGGTGGTCTTTGGGAAGGATTTCAGAGAGGTGGGTCGTGACTCTTTGACTCATTATCTGTTTTGTTTTTTGTTTTGTCTGTAGATTTTGGGGGGATTTAGGGACTGGCGTGTTGATGGTAGAGCGGTCTTTGGGAAGGGTTTTGGAGAGGTGGGTCGTGACTCTGGACTGATTAGCAGTTTTTTGTGGTTACTTATTGCTGTTACCGTTGTTGTTGTTGTTGCTGCTGCTGTTAGTGTTGTTGTTGTTGTTGTTGTTTGTGGGGGGGGGGGGTCAAGGATGGGGTGGGTTGATGGGGAGATGAAGGTCAAAACGTAAGATAGGGGGATACTTTGGCTACATGTTCCCACCTTCGTAATCCTTTGGTGAGGCAGCGTGGTGGAATCAGGCTCTCATCAAAATAATCAAAGTGAAGAAACTTGCATTTTTCAGCAGCTTTGTGAATTTTTATCAAATTTTTGTTTTTTGGCCCAACACCTTTCATACACATTAAAGAACTCATTTTTGTGCGGATTTTTCTGAAAAACATTGGTAAAAAAGAAGTAAATTTTCAGTTACCATGGACTCTTAAGCTAAAGGAATAACTGATGTTTTGGCGGCCATTTTCTCACTAATTTTACCTCTGAAAACAGGTGATCCCCACCTCCTTTATTCGCAAATATTTCGAATTGTATTCAAGATAAATGAATATTTGTTTAATCCAAATAAAGACAAATGAGCAAGCTTTAAGATGATACCAGTAACTCTACATGCCCAAAAATTGACGAGAGCCCGATTCCACCACGCTATTTAAATGTTTGCTGAAAGCAAGAGAGACAACCCCAAAGCTGCTGGTGTGAAGAGTTTCAAAACGATAGCCTCCCTTGATTTCAAAGCTGCTCTGCAATGATGTTGTTATTCTTCTTGTGCTCTTTCGTTCCTTGTTCTTTATCTCTGACTGATAAAAACACGAATGTTCAGGTTTTCCGATAAATTGTAGGTTGACTTGTTTATGTGCTCAATGGCCTGGCAAAAAAGACTCCGTTATTCAGAAAAATAAGGTAAGATAAAATAATACTTTATTATTCCAGAAGGAAATTTTTCTTGGCTGTACAGGACCGTAAAAACACATGCAGGTATACATTAAAAAGATTAAATTATATATTACTCTCATTAAAATTCTATATGAAAAGAGAAGTAAAGCTGACAAAATGTACATTCACATCAGATGCATCATTCAACCACATGCTGAATTTAATTACAAGACCTTTGGAGTTATATACAGATACATACTCGAAAGAGCAACACACATCTATGCTCATTCTGACAAAAGCCTTATGCTAGATGGTAAAAACTTATTTTTATATCTTTCTTGAGCTGTAAGAGCCTCATCGCCACTGAGCAGCGCCGGAAAGAAAATGGACATTGTGAGGAAGACAGAGTCAAACTTTTGTGAATGATATAGTCTAATGTAACTTTGTGAACGTATTGGATGGAAGGAACGTATTTGTGATAGGACTCTAGTGCAATCTTGGGTTTTAGTCGATTGTTTGAACTTGAATATGAATTTATTCTTGTACAGGGAACTTATACACTATGAAGATGCATAAAAGTGGGTGGTTGGCGGGTGGTCTGGTGTGGTTTGCTCCTTCTTTCCTATAAAAAGTCTATCGTCTCTATCTCCCCTCCTTCTTTTTGGTTTTTGTTACTCTCTTGTAACGCCTCTAGTCCTCGCACTTATATGACCTTATTATTATACGAGCGCTGTAAAACTTTTACTAAAACTAAGGTGCATGAAAGGACCATCCTTTTTTTTTTTAAAGAGGATGCAGTTTATTGTCAAAACTCGAACTTAAAGTTCTAAGAAACAAGATAGTGGGTGGTTGGCAGATGCTATTAGTGTAGTTTTCTCCTCTTCTTTCCAAACAAACATCGATCGTCACTATTTTTCCTCCTTCTTTTGTTTTTGTGTTTGTTACTCTCTTGTAATGCCTTTAATTATCAGCTCTTGTATTACCTAATTGTGTTGCGAGTGCCGTAAATTCTTACTATCTATAACCAGTTTAAAAAGACAAGGTAATGTGGGTGAGTCCATGAAAAATCAAACTGCATAGACACATTTAATGTGGGCAGGATGACATGCTGAAAATATTCTAAATAGTGATATGTCTGGGTTTTTTTTCCTTTCTTTTACTACCCCCCCCCCTTAAAAAAAACAAAAGAAAAAAAACAACCCAGCAATAACAAACTAGCGCTCATATGACCTTATGCAGTTGCGAGCGCCGTAAAACCCCATGCTAAACTAAACTAAATAACAAACTAACAAGATAAATTCTATTGATTTCAGAGCAAACAGTATGCCATGCAGCTGAGTAAGAAGAAAGGCCTCCTTTATGTCAATGGGTAAGTGCATTGCTAGGACATCTCAGGTTCAAGGTGAGCGGGTGGTTGGCGGGTGCTCTGGTGTGGTTTGCCCCTTATCTTTCCTAGCGAAACATCTATCATCTTTGTCTCTCCTCCTTCTTTTGTTTGGTTGGCAGGTGCTCTGGTGTGGTTCACCTCTTTTTCGTATCAAACATCAATCGTCTTTGTCTCCCCTCCTTCTATTTTGTGTTTGTTACTCTCTTGTAACACCTCTAATCTTCGGCACTTATATGACCTTATTGTGTTGCAAGTGCCATAAAACACTTACTAAAACTAAAACAAACCTTCTGTTGTTTTGTTTGTATGATACTCTCTATTAACACCGGCAATCCTCGGCACTACTTTGGTCTAATTGTGTTGTTGCAATTGCCGTAAATCCTTACTAAACCGGTTTTAAAAAGCACAGCTGTTTGGATGTAGATCAGACTGCTTAGAACAGAGACTGATGAGTGGGTGGTTGGCGGGTGCTCTGATGTGGTTTGCCCCTGATCTTTCCTATCAAATATCTAATGTCTTTATCTCCTCTCCTTCTTTTTTGTGTTTGTTACTCTTTTGTAACACCTCTAATCTTCTGGCGCTCATATGACCGTATACAGTTGCGAGCGCCGTAAAACCTCTACTAAAAGTAAACTGATGGAGAGCCCTTCTTTGAGGAGGCTTATACCCAATACCGGGGTGAAAGAGGCAGAGAGAGACTTAGAGAGTGAGAGAGACAGAGAGACTGAGAGTGAGATAGATTGAGAGAGAGATGCAGAGAGAGAGAGAAAGAGAGAGAGAGATATTCTATGTAGCTTGGCTTTTTCTCTTTTGCTCTCCTACAATTTTATCATTTTTCTCCGCCAGCTACGACCACCCCCACATCTTGGCTGGGCAGGGCACCATGGGTCTGGAGATCATCGAGCAAGTCCCACAAATCGATGCCTGCATCATCCCTGTAGGGGGAGGTGGGCTGATTGCCGGCAGTGCTGTAGCCCTCAAGAATCTCAAACCTTCTGTTCAGATCATCGTGAGTCCTCGAGATAACCCTCTTTCGCCCCCCCCCCCCTCCCCACAACCCCTAGCATGACAAGTTTGTTATCAGTTAGTTGATGACCTAAGTATAATAGTACAATAATTGCTCCCTCAATTGATAGAACAATTAATCCTCCCTAGAATTGTAATCCGTTTGTCCGGGCCTCTTGTGTTGTGACATGGCTGAATAAAGGTATTGTTAACTTGACCAGTGAACCCGTTATATTATCTTCTTTATTGTCATTTCCAATGTGTATGACTGGTCAACACTGAATGAACATGAGTTTGATTTGCCACTGGGGAGAGAGTTTTTATATCGAGTATTTGAGTTTTTCCGCTGGGATGTTGTACTCCTCTCCGCCAAGGTTGGACCCGACAGACAGGCCTAATTGAAGCAGGTTACCTTGCGAATTGTCTAAATTGTGTCTATGGGGGCGTAAAACATTAACCGTTATTTAACTAGAAAGAATGAGTTAGCTTCTAGTGCCGTATGACACATTAAGTGGCGTTGGTGGTCTAGTGGATGGGTGCTCAGACTCGCAACGGTAAGGTGGTGAGTTCCGAATCCCATTAGGGGCTCGACTGATGCCTCGTTATAATTTAGATACCCATGGATAGTCTAGCACGACAACCGTACACAGAAATCAGCAACCGACCATGTTGGATGTTTATGGCACTACTGAATCATGACTTTAATTTCTCATCCTGAAGAGTGCCATATCAATACATTCAAACAAGGAGACATAACTACGGCAATTAACGATAATGAACCAAACACAGTTATTGGTCATATAACAGATATTACAGAGATATATTACACGGACTTTGTGTCCTTCGGAAAGACACTTTACTCAAATTTTTCTCACTTCACCGTGGTGGGAATGGCTACCCAGCTATAGACAGTGAAAGATCTTATCAGTTTGTTAGTGGTTGAGCGCTTAATTGGCTGCTTGCACTGTATGCTTCCTGGGAAGCCGAGATTGGTTCTGAGTGTTATAGACTCTCTCTCTCTCTTCCTCTTGCCCTTTTTAACTCCCAGTGGAGCATAGACCATCAACAACATTTCTCCAGCAAAGCCTGTCCTGTGCATGCTTTTCTAGCTGTTTCCATGATGTCCACGCCTTTTCCATTTCCGCTTGTACCGTTCGCCTCCATGTCATCTTTGGTCTTCCTTTCTTACGTTTTCCTTGTGGATTCCACGTCAAAGCCTGTCTGATGATGCTTGTCGGGGGTCTCCTCAGGGTGTGCCCAATCCATTTCCATTTCTCCACCTGTATGTCTTTCTTTACTGGCCTTTGGCTTGTTTTTTCCCCCAGTTGAGCATTTGTGACTCGATGGTTACAGAGTCAGGTGGGGTAATAATATAGTGTAAAGCGCATAGAGCTTGCTATCGAGCTATACAAATGCTATTTATTATTATTATTAAGTTATAATGACTATGATTGTGTTGATGTTTCTTTCAAAACAACTCGTTTCTGTTCCACTGTCTGTTCCAGGGCGTAGAATCGGAAAGATCCACGGGCTTCCAGGAGGCGATGCGGACCGGCCACCCCGTCTACACCCCTGTGGGGCAGACACTCGCAGACGGTAAGAGGAGAAAGAATGCAGGGGATTGATGGGCGGAAAGTAGCATTAGAGAATATTGTAACAACAGGAAAGTTTGATGGAAAGAGAGGCAGAGGCAGACAGAGGGAAAAGATTCTGGACAAGATGACAACAAGGCAGGGAGCAGTAAGAACAACAGACACCATTGTTGTGGCGCAGGACCGGGTAAAGTGAAGGTCCATGATTGCCCACGCCAGTCGGCAAGGCACCAGATGATGATGATGAAGGGGAGAACGAGTGCAGGGGATTGGCGGGCAGAGGCTTCTATAATGAAAGAAGAAGATTACAATATTGATCCCCGCTAAATGTATTTTTGTCGGTGGAGATAGTTATTTCTGAACTATTTTTGTCGTAATTAACTACTATTGTCGTGCAAGCTGATCTGAGGTTGGTTGGGTTTTTTTTAAGGTTATGTTATTTTCAGTTCTTTTGGTACTGAAAAAAGTAAAACCATGGTTATTGGTTGACTGTTTTCTGTACGTGAAAAAATAAGTACGGTAAGTACAGTCGACCCTGACAATCCCCTGTACATATTACCACTTCCCATATGCCTCTTTGTGTTTTTTAAATATATGTGAGGTAGTGTGATGAAATCAGGCACTCGTCAACATAACAAAATTGGAGAAACAGAAATTTTCCCACCAGTTTCGCAATTTTAATCAAATTTAAAAATTTTTGTTCCACCCTGTTATGTCCAAATAAAAACATTTCCTTGTGAATTATACTGAAAAACGTGATTAAAAAGTCAAAACATGTAATTTTCCAGTTTTCAAGGACTCTTTAGCTATTGAAGTTACCAAGCTTTGGCGGCCATTTTCTCTGCATTTTCACCGCTGAAACCAAGTGAACTTACCTCTTTCAATCACAAATACCTTCATTTCTGCTCAAGATAAATGGGTATTTTTTCATCAAAAGAAAGATAAATGAACAGGCTTTAAGATGATACCAATAACTCCCCATGCACAGAAATTGACGAGCGCCTGATTCCACCGCGTTGCGACACAGATTATGGGATGGGTTCAAATTCTGTCATGAGCACCGGCCATGCGTCATTAGGAAAGGCACTTTGCAGGAATTTTCCTGACTTCATACAGTTGGGAATGGCTATAAATTATAGTGAGAGATCTTGTCAGTTTGTTAGTGTTAAAGCAATTAATTTGCTGCTTGCTCTGTATAATTTCCCAGGAAGCTGATAATGTTTCTGAGTGTTCTAAGGTCATGTGGGGTAATACTATAGATTGCAAAGCACATAGTTTGCTATTGAGTGGGCCAGTTATATGTGCTATACAAATGCCATTTAGTAGGTGGTTGGCGGGTGCTCTGGTGTGGTTTGCTTCTTCTTTCCTATCAAACATCTATCATCCTTATCTCCCCTTCTTCTTTTTTATGTTTGTTACTCTCTTGTAACACCTCTAATCTTCTGGCGCTCGTATGACCTTGTGCAGTTGTGAGCGCCGAAAAACCTCAACTAAAACCAAAATGTCATTTATTATAATTATTTATCATTGTTTCTCTGTATCTGTCTAGGTTTGGCTGTTCCTGTCGTTGGATGCAACGCGCTGGCGACTGCAGAACCTCTAATTGACAGAATGATCACTGTTAAGTAAGTGTAGAGCGAGACAGTGAAAATAAAACAGAAGCAACAGAAATGTGGTTTCTTAGGAGACTGCTAAGAGTATCATGGAAGGAAAAGAAATCGAATGAGCTGGTGCTTGATGAAGCCCACGTGGGACGGTCAATGTTAAAAACAATCAGGAAACGACAAATGCAGTTTTTGGGACACCTGAATAGACATATGGGTCTTGAACATCTAGCTCTCTCTGGCAAAATTGAAGGCATATGAGGCAGGGGTAGGCCCAGAACAACCTACTTAGGGAACCTAAACAAATGGGTAACTCGGATAGATCAAGGAAAACGTAGCTTTTTTGAGAGCATCTGAGCAAAGGAATGAATGGAGAACCATGATCGCCTATGTCTGTCGCAGATGTGGCACTGAATGATGATGATGAAGTGTAGAGTTTGCTGTTTCAGTCTTTTTCATTTCTTGCTGAAAAAAAACCTTGAGCCGCTGTTAACTCAATTAAGCCTGAGCCATTTTTCACCCAACAACCTGACACTTTTGGAGTATATAGAAGGGTTAACCTCAAAAAGACTGAAAAGCTATCATAATTTTTAAAAATGCAACAAGAGAAAAAAAGAAATGCTCTGAAAGAAAAAGAAAACTGCGTCTAATTTGTCCAAATAGTTTTTATTTTATCAAGGTTATTTCTAAAGTCTTGTGATCAGAAGCAAGAGCAAAGTAAGTAACTTTGTTGGAAATACCGGACATCTGAGTTGACCCAAGTGGCATATACTATCTTTTGAGGTAGAGTGGTACAGTGTATCCCTTGGGTCTTGATTGTGATAATGGTTTTTGCTTGATCTGGGCTATCATTTTCAGATCGTGATTAATTAATCCTATCCCTACGCCCTGGGGTCAATTTGTACCCCCGGGGTTGTATTCTTCACATTTGAGAATACTTCTAGTCCGAAGATCTCTTGGAAACTTTCAGTATTTCTCAAAAACTCATTTTGACAGACTGCTACGCAAAGCGTACCGATCGGATTAACGAATAAATTTCCTCTTTGGAATGTGATGGCACTGAGTTCCCCACGTCGTATGCATACGGTAGTAAAACACGACGTACAGATAGGGTTAAGATTACTTTTTATTGCTTTTGTCTTAGAATAACTTTCGATATTTACTTGAATGTATCCCACACAGCCAAAGTTGGCCACAGACAGGCACGGTCGAAGCAATCTGCCTCCTACAAGTTCTGAATTATGATCATATGAGTGGCGTAAAACAAATTTCAAATATAGAGACAAATAATTTTCTTTCCAGAGAATGGGTGCCTGGTGGGTGCTCTTGTATGGTTTACTTCTTCTTTACTATCAAACATTATATCATCCTTAACTGTCCTCCTTCTTTTATTTTTTTTGTTGCTCTCTAGTAACACCTCTAATCTTGGACACTTTAATGACCTGTTTGCGTTTTGAGTGCTGTAAAACTCTTACTAAAATTAAAACTAAACTAATCTTTGGCACTTTAATGACCTAATTGTGTTTCAAGCGCAGTAAAACTCTTACAGTGGATGGTTGGTGGGTGCTCTGGTGTGGTTTGCTCCTTCTTTCCTATCAAACATCTGTCGTCCTTATCTCCCCTCCTTTTTTGTGTTTGTTACTCTCTTGTAACACCTCTAATCTTCGGCACTTATAAGACCTTATTGTGTTGCATGTGCCATAAAACTTTTTCTAAAACTAAACTCTTACTAAAATTAAAACTAAACTATAATCTTGGTCACTTTTATGACCTATTTATTTGCATTTCAAGTGCTGTAAAACTCTTACTAAAATTTAAACTAAACTATAATCTTTGGCACTTTTATGATCTATCTATATGTGTTGCAAGCGCTGTAAAACTTTTACTAAAATTAAAACTAAACTAATCTTTGGCACCGTTCTGACCTATTTATTTGCATTTTAAGTGCCATAAGACTCTTACTAAAATTGAAACTTAACTAATCTTTGGCTCTTTCATAACCTGTTTGTATGTGTTTTAAGTGCTGTAAAACTCATACTTAAATTAAAACTAAACTAATCTTTGGCACTTTTATGACCTATTTATATGTGTTGTAAGTGCTGTAAAACTCTTACCACTTGTCTTACTTTATTCCCCAGAGAATCTCACATCGCCCTGGCCATCCTGCGGCTGATAGAGCAGGAGAAAGCCGTGGTGGAGGGCGCTGGTGCCACTGGTCTCGCCGCCATTATTCAGGGCCTGGTACCCGAGCTCAAAGGCAAATCGTGAGTTGCTTTTCTGGAAATCTTGTGTGCATTACTCAAGATCAGATCTGCCCCTCATCTTGTTTTTATCGGGATATCCCCTTTTTTTCCCCCCCACAAATCTCTAGACCTTATGCAGTTGCGAGCGAAGTAAAACCTCTACTAAAACAAACAAACAAATCTCTAGCATCCCAATTTCAATCGCGTGCATCCTGATTTTTCTGTTCCGTCTATTGTACCGGATTTGTTCTAAAAACTTACTCTGCCATCCTATATTAAGTTTTCTCAGGGTTTCCTTGACACCCTAGATCCACCTTTTGTGTGGCCTTCCTCTTCCTTTATAGCCTGAGTGCTTGGTGTTGTAGTGTTTACTACCAGTTTTTTTAATGTTTGAAATGGATAGTTGGTGGGCCCTAGTCATAGATGCTGTTTTTACCGGCTGTCACAATTCCCCCCCCCCCACCCCCCCACAAAGTCGTAGTGACCATTCTTTGCATGAGGTTTTGTTAGAGAAGAGGGGCCTTTTTAATCTATCAGTTCAGGTATTTGGGGATTTGTCTCTCTTTTTTAGTTTTAGTAAGTGTTTTATGGCTCTTGCTACACAATAAAGTCATATAAGTGCCGAAGATAAGAGGTGATACAAGAGAGTAACGAACACAAAATAGAAGGATGTGAGAAAAGGACAATTGATGTTGGACAGGAAAGAAGGAGAAAACTACACTAGAGCACCCGCCAACCACCTACTTTGTCACTCTACGACATGCATGGAAAAGATAATCATGCAAAATGTTAGATTTACATATTTATTTTAGGTAGTCAAGTTATAAGGGTAGCATCTCTGGTGGCTGCGGAGCAGTTCCCTTTTTTAGGAAGGGCCTAGACATCTTGTTCTTTAACAACTTTCGCTCAACACCCCTCCTCCCTCTCTTCCCCCCCCCCCCCTTTATTAGCAAGGGCTTTGACATCTTGTTCTTTAACAACACGTCTTACTGGTCGCTCATTAACCCCCTTCCTCCCTCCCTCTCCCCCGCCCTTTCTTAGCAAGGGCTTTGACATCTTGTACTTTAACAACACGTCTTACTGGTCGCTCATTAACCCCCCTCCTCCCTCTCCCCCCAACCACATTACTTAGCCCAACTTATTTCACACAATTTTTATTCAAGCCAGATAACTCATTGCTTGCATATTTTTGACTGAGGCCAGTTTGATTCAGTTACTTCCCTTATTTAGTACAGTATTCATAAAATATTATCACTTTTTCTTCCCTCCCCCCAACCACTCTGCCCGTTTTTGATAGATACTATGGCTTTTGATTTTCATGCCTCTAGAACTTTCGAAATAACTTTCTTTGCTAAGCTCTGTTTCTACTTCTGATAGTTTAATGGGTGCTTATGAATGAGCGGTTGCCAATGAATCATTTTATATATTAATATTGTAATGTTCCTTGTAAAATGTGGCTATTATCATGCTTTTCTGTGTAAACTGTGTGCTTCCCAAGAAGTTAAGGTTGTTTCACAATGCTACCAGATCTGCAGGGGTAGTAGATTCTAAAATGCTTAGGGCTTGCTTTTGAGCAGGAATTTGCGATAAACAATTAATGCCATTTATTATCTAGCTACACTTCAGCTCTGCCGTAACTGTCTCCTTCCAGAGGGCTTTCGTGGCCTAGAGATTAAGGTATTGGCCTCTCATTCAAAGGTCCTGCATTCGAATCCAGGGAGCGACGGAAAACTTTTCTTCTCTAAAATTGTCCCCTTTCACCTCCTTTCCTTCTCTTTAACAATGTTTTGTCGTCTGCTTTCGTATCCACTTTCTGCTCCCACCCCTTCACATCCTTTGCCTCCTCCTCTGGGCTCCTGACTCTTTCTGCAGCCTTTCTACTGCCACCCCTTGTCTCCTTCTTACTGCTGTCTTTCAGCCACACCCCTGATCTTCTGGTAGGAAAAATCTACACCTAGCCCTCTCGGAAAAGGGCTAAAAATCTCGGAGGTCCCGTGTGCAAGTTTTGGACGTTAAAGACCCCTTGGTGGTCTAAAATCGATAAGAGTAGGCTTCGGCCGCCACCCGGGCAAAATTCTAAATTTCCTGCCATCTGAAAATTCCGCGCGCTCAAATGACCTTATGCAGTTGCGGGCGCCACTAAACACTTACAAAAACAAGAAAGCATGTCTCCATCCTCATTATTTTCCTTTGTATTTCTATTATATTTGTTGAAATCACTATGTCTTTTCTTTTTGTGTTGTCATTTCTCTTAACGTTATATCCAAGATCTAATAATTCTTGGTGGCATTGGGAGCCTAGTGGTTAGGCTACGGAACTCGTACTCGTGAGATTATGAGTTCAGGGGTTCGAACCTCAGCTCAGTCCGACGTTGTATCCTTGGGAAAGACACTTTACACGAATATCCCATTTGACTCAGTCCTTTCGGAAATGCACGTTAAACTCAGAGGTACCACCTCTTAAATAACTTAACAGTATTGATAAGGGCGTTAAACCTATACCCCCCCCCCCGGGCAGTGGCTACCGATTAAAGTTGTCTTTAGGCCATTCTCAAAAGGGGGATATTAACGTATTGTTATGCACAGTAGAATTGTATATGGGTTAACTGATCAATGTCATGCTCATACTGTGCCCGAACAATATAGAAGGAACTGCTGCCTTTTCTTTCTTTATCCTTACTATCGTAATTTTTCTTCTGCTTCTTTTGTATGTTTGTCACTCTCTTGTAACCTGCTATTTCCGGGGTGCCTTGATAGTCGAAACAGGCTTTGTGCTGTTGAGACTAGAGAGGTGAGCCAAGTAAAATGATTCCCCGTCTCTGTCGACATCCACCCCTTGGCACTCATATGACCTTACACAGTTGCCGGCGCCGTAAAACCTTACTAAGTGGGTGGTTGGCGGGTGGTCTGGTCTGGTTTGCTCCTTCTTTCCTATCAAACATCTATCGTCCTTATCTCCCCTTCTTTTTTAAATGTTTGTTACTCTCTCGT